CAGGGCTGCCTCCGGGACGCGTCTGTGCCGTGTGCCGCGCGTCCGTCCGCCTGTGTCGCTGTGAACTACACCTCCGCGCTCTGCCTGTCGGTTCACCCGTGACACGGTCGTGTCTGTCGCTTCTACCACATGCACCCGTCAGCCACGCGTCCACCCAGCTCTGACATTCTCTCTCTCCATGATCTGTGACTGTGCCCGTCCATCTCTGCCCCGTGTGACCGTCACCGGCCTCTTCCAGTCTCTCCCTCTCCCCGCTGCTTCCGTAGAAAACTCTGACACAAAAGCCCACAGGACACCAGCCGCTGACACACTGACCTCCGATTCGATTTCCTTTTAGCCGCGAACCCAGCCGCGAACCCAGCCGCTCACTCCGTGCGCGGAGGGAAACGCGGGTCCGCGCGCACCGGCCTCACTCTTTCTCCGCCCTTCCCGCTCCCCCGCTCCGTCTCGCGGTCCCCGCCCTCTGAGAACGGCCTCTCTCCCTCCGTCCCGTGATCCACCTTTCATTTTGCTCTTCTGTTTCACACTCTGCGATTCTCACAGAAGAGAAACCATGAGACGCTGACGCTCCTGTGCCTGGTTTCCGTCCCTCGGCCTCACCGTCTCGGGGTGCTTCGAGTCTTCCAAAAATGCCTCTGGCCCGTCCTTCTTCGGGGCCGCGTAGTACTCCACCGTGCGGCCCGAGCGTCCCCCGAGGTGTGAAACTCAGCTGTGTCCCTTCGGTCAATGTTGACAAAACGTGTTGCGGAACGAAACGTCCACACTCGCAGCCCCGTGGCTAACGGGAAGTGAAATCGTCGCTCTGGTTTCGGTGCAAACACCGACTAGTCGTGTCCAGATGTGGGTGGGGGAAGAGGTAAAAGACGTGGAGACACCGGCCTTCGCGTTTTGTTTTGTGTTGTGTTTTGAAGGCAGGGTTTCTCCCGGCACGCACTCGAGAGGCTGAGGCAGGGGGATCTCCCCCGTGAGTCCAAGGCCAGCCTGTGCTACATGATGAATCCCACGGCGTCAAACCTGCATCCCAACAGAAAGGCAGCTACGGGATCTGTGGAGGAACCCTGGTGCTGCCAGCACTCCGGGAGGCTGAGGCAGGAAGGTTGCTACTGCCAGTTCAGCCTGAGCAGTTCAGTCATTTAGCAAGGCCCTGTCTCAAATTTGTTTTTTAAAAATGGGCTGGGGTGGAGCTGGGCGCACAGGTCCTGGGTTCAACCACCCGGTGCTGCAAAAACAAAACAACAGAGAAGAAATAGCTTGACAAGGCTGGCTGCACAGGTGGATGCCTGTGATCCCAGCTCCTCTGGAGGCTGAGGCAGGAGGGTCCCAAGCTAGAGCCGCCAACTCCCCACCCAGTGCCGGCATCTCCACCCCAGGCCTCCTGTGCTGTGTGCCAGGCCGCCAGGAGATCCTCCTGCCTCAGCCCCCACTTCACGGCCGGAAGATGCAAGAAACGGGCCCCGCTGACACCTCCACCTTCGTCCAGGGAGGCCCGGGTCAGCGGAGGCGTACAAATCGCAGTGCAGGGCCACACATGCACACGTGTATACCGCGTGCACGGATCCGATCCCGCGTCGCACACAGCGCGCCCCTCCAACCTCTAGTAGTCGTAACTCTCTGCTCACTTTGGCCTTTTTAGCCTCCATGTGTGAGGAAGGAGTTGGAATTCCCGGCTTTCCGTGTCTGGCTTATGTCACCGCACATCACACCCATCAGTTCTACCCACGTCACGGCAGGTGATTGCGTGACCCCTTTTTCGTGGCTGTATAATATTCCTCGTGGTATTCTATATTTCAACTTCTGCACAGGGGCCGTGATACGGGAGCAGCCTGGGTGCCACGAATAAGGGAGGGGGAGAGGGGAACGTGGCGATGTGTCACCCACCTCCCGCCTTGGCTCTGCTCCTCCCCACCTTTGACAGGAACAGCGCAGCTGTTTTAAAAACAGGAAGATGCAGCAAAAACACCATCTGCTTGCTGTCCAGTCCGTCTCCCTGAGAAGAGACAAAGAGAGAGAGAGAGAGACAGGGAGAGACAGAGACATTCACTGACTTGAGACCCTCCTGCCTCAGCTTCTCTGTGCGCTGGATGCCAGTCATGCGCCCCCGCCAGGTGTTTGTGTGCTAACCACACCGCACCCCAACAGAGCGGCAGCTTCTGTGCCTTCCCATTCACCTCTCTGCTCCCGCAAATCCCTTTTTCCACGTCCACACCCGGCTGTGACCGCCCCATGCCGCTGTTTCTGCTCGCACCCATCCTTTTGATGGCTGCATAGTATTCCAACCTTGTCTGCGCCCCGCTTCCTGTGTGCCTCGGTCCAGGGAGGCAGTCCGGGGGCTTCCGCTTCATGGTTACGGTAATCAGTGCTCCCCGCCTCCCAGCAAAGTCCCCGCCGGGTCCCTGGGGCCCCGGATGCTTCCTGTCTACATCAGGGAGGCACAGGCCCCAGGCCCAGGTGTGGGTGGCGCTGGCTCCTCCGAGTCCTGGCTCCTGGGGTCCTGGGTCCTCACACCTGCATCCCTCCTGTGTGTCCGGGTCCTCCGGCCTCTTCTCAGAGGGACCCAGCCCTGTCGGGTCGGGGCCACCCTGGGGACTCAGTTTACCTCCACGGCTCCTTAAGACCCAGTCTCCATACACAGCTGCAGCCTGAGGTCCTGGGGTCAGGAGTCAATCTACAAACATTCGGTCTCCACACAGCCTCGGCCTGGGGGCCTGGGGGTCAGAGAGTCAGTCTGTGAACACTCGGGCCTGCAGCTCAGCCCAAAGCCCCAGGAAAGCGTGCAGAAAATCAACACCCAGCCAGGCTTTTCCGATCCCGGCCCCGCAGCTGAAGATTTTACGAAGCAAACACGCGTGTGGCAGCGGAGCCCCAGGTCACAGACACCGCATTGCCGACGGCCGGACGAGCCCTGCAGCCTGGGCACGGCCCGGTGACTCGAACTCAGTGCAGGGAGCCGGCTCCGTATGCAAAGCAGCAGCCACAGCCCGGGTTAGCAGAGAGAGGAAGAGGCCCGGCTCTTTCACAGCCTCAGTTTGGCTCCAGCTGAGGGGCTGCGCACTGCGTCACCGCCCTCCCCAGCCTCCGTGAGTCCCAGGGATGCCGGGGCGGGGGGGCGGTGGTGGCGGAGGGAGGCGCGGGCGGAGTGCGGGGCGCCATGCTCGGGAGGCTGAGGCGTGAGGGTCTCCAGTTGGAGACGCAGGCAACGTGGGCTCCGGACAGAAACCCGGGCACAGATGGCTTCTCTGCTTCCAAAGTCACTGTCTTAGGAGTCGAGGGGGCAGCCGTCCTCCTGGCCCTCAGGGAGGCTGAGGCAGGAGGACCACAAGCCGCGGCCCGGCGCGAGACCCCGGCTCAGAATGAGAAACAAAGGAAAGAGCCCAAGCCTGGCCCTAAATAGCTGGGTAAACAAATGAGCTGCACCGGACGCCGTCCCTGCCCTGTCCTTAACTTTTTTAAAAAAAAATGTTTATTTTTAAGACAGGGTCTCGGTAAAGTCACCATGCTACCAAGGCGGGGCTCAAATATGTGATCCTCCCGCCTCAGCCTTCCGGAGCACAGGGAGGGACAGCTTCAGTGATTAAAACCAGTATGGGTCTGCTGCCAATGGCTGATTGGCTGATCGGGTCGGGCAGTTTGGAAAAGGTTCTGTGACTGGAGTAGAAGCCTAACCTGCACCAGCTCAGGTCAACGTGGACTCTGAGAGCGTCTCTCTCTGGGATGCAAGGGCTCCAGGTCCGGCTGTATCCAGGAGCTTAAGTGCCTCATGGGGCTGCTGCCCCTCGGGGGTTCCCGACCACCCTGGGGCGATCATTGAACCTGGGCACAGCCTGGGGCCGCCCCATGCCCGTCTCCCACCTCCAGCCCTGAAGGCAGCTGACCCTGTCCCTGAGACCCGACGCTTGTCCCTTGGGGCTCGGGGACACGGAGCCCAGCACAGCCAGACTGAGAAACACACCGGTTGTGCCCGGGAAAGTGCACCCTGCTTGGTGCTGGGGTCTCTGTGCCCTGGCTCTAGTTTCCCTCCAGAGCTGCAGGAAGCAGAGGCAGGACAATCTCTCATGGTCTCCATCCTTTTCCCAGGGGACCGAGGGGCTCCTGAGGGCCTGGGGTCCTCACAACACCCTGGGGACCCTGCGGGGCCTCTCTGCTGTTTCCCTACCTCCCCTCCTCTCCCAGGCCAGGGCAGCAAGCGGCCCCAGGGTGGACACTGCAGGCCGCGGGGTGGGGTCCCCACAGGGGCCGGAAGTCAGGCTGCAGCTGCTTTGTCTCCAGGCCCAGGGACGGCAGATCGTGGCCAGGAGGAAGAGGCAGGAAACACCGGGAGGAACAGAGGCTGAGGAGTCGGGGCTGGGGTACCGCCGAGGCTGGGGCGTGAACCCCAAGTTTCAGGCTCTGCTGCTGGCCATGGGGCCATGGGAGGGTTAGGAATGAGGCACTCATCACCGGGGATCCTCCCGGCTCTCTAGGAGGCTGAGGCAGGAGGGTGCACGATGGAGCCCAGGCTGGGCAGCTGGGCAAGACCCTGCCTCAAAATCAACGTTGTTTCAGAAAAGGGCTGGGACGAAGCTCAGTGCAGAGGCTCTGGGTTCGATTCCCGGTAGGACAAAATAACAACAACTATAATAGCAACAGCGGGGGCGTCGGCGTGCAGACCGAGCCGAGCACCAGCACCGCGCGTGGATCCAGGGCAGAGTCTCCTCCTCGCTCCAAAAGGACTCCCTGCCCCTTCCCCAGCCCCGGGTGACCACAGCGGGGTCCACAGCTGTGGGCGCTCGTGCCCCGTGTCCCTCTGGTCTCTCCCCGAGGCCCAGGTCCACCGAGTCTGCCCAGGTCACAGCAGGTGACAGAGTCCCGGCCCTTTTTCATGGCCGGGTAACATTCCGCCGGCTGGAAAGACCACCTCGTGTTTGTCGCTGCCCTGCACTGGGTGTTGGGGTGGTTTCCACTCTTGCTGCTGGGTATGGTGAGGCCACGAGCAACCCACACATCCACCCCTCGGCCCAGGCTCCGCCCTCTGTCGTGCATGCCCGCGCTTTCGTATTCCCTTTGCAGTCCGCCGTCTCCG